TACTCATGATGTTTGTCCATATAATGTAAAAAATACTTCTTTTTAGCAAGAATATGTAGATAGGATTTATATTTTACCAAAATTTTATCACCACTATTTTTATTGTGATCATCATTATTAGTATGATTGATGAAAAGCGATGATTTTCCTTACTACAATTGTATCCTTATGTGTCTAAAGTCTGTTTTCAACTTAGCTTACCTTTCAGATTAATTTTGATGAATATAATAGTTTCATTAACGTAATGTCGATGCATACAAACACGTTTGACAAGTCATTTATTCCAGATTTGAACAGCAGGGGTCATAACACCGGGGCCAAGATTGAAACGTGTTCTTTCCACCGACGCAAAATCAACTCGCGAATCACACCGTCCACTGGGACTCTGTGCGATGCATTTGACCTACAGCAATAAAAAAGAGAGTTACGCTAGAAAGCTGGTTCCTAACTAAGAAAAGAAATGGCCTTCAACAGTCCTTCTCGGGACTATTCTCACCCGGACGATCAGACTGCACAATAACCTCCTATTCCTGGGCTCAAACCGTTTATTGATGAATCTAACAATTGAACACCATAAAATGTTAGACGTTTTGAGCTTAGAAGGACTTTATGGCCCAAATCTTACCGCTTCCGAGCCTTTAGCATCCTAATCAGTTGGTCAACCGTCCACTATCGCCCATTCACTGCCAATGGTTTTTTTCCTTTAGTTGCAACAGCGCACACTTCAGTAGAGAGTGAAGCCTCTGTTCGTCATCATTTAATTTGGCGCACCATCCATCTCCTCTGGTACCGTTTAGAAGTCCATATGATGGAAGAGTGTTGACTTGGTAATGACCTTTTATGTTACCTATAGACCGGACACCCTCATCAACATTTTTGGACCAAATACCCAGTTGGTTCAAAATAATTGCTTCATTGGTTTAACTTTAGCAGTAAAGCGCCGTTACGTGACTTATCACATGACAAGAAAAATCCTTCAGAAACCCTTGAAAATTTAAAAAAATCCTTGTCTTTTTATAAACAAGTATGAAATTTGTTTCTCGGCCTCTCTTATCACAAACCTTTTATCATTTAGGCTGTCTAAAACGTTCACTTCACTTTTTACAGGTATTTTGTCTTTTGTTTAATGATCGTTTAATTTTAGTCTTGCGGCGGATGTACTTGCTAAAGCGGACGAGTATGGCACTGTTGTACCGACAAATATAGCGTTTACTCCGTTTCTTCAGCTAACGGCAGACAACACAGATGTCAATGACGAAACCCCCGATGGAAAAAATACAACTCATGCGACATCCATGGTTGTATTCCGGAGACGGCCGTATGGATCAGAACCACCCCCAGTCCAACTGGCAAACCACATTGACAGGAAACTGTCCCTACAAGCGGGGGGAAGGATTTACGAGCTACCGTAGTCCTCTGCATTTGGGAGACGACTTCAAGTCACTTTTTGTGTGGGATTTCCCCACACTTTGTCAGGGCCTACGGTATTTATTTATTTATTTATCTATTTGTATACGAGAACAAAGTATCTGTCACGTGGTCTCTGATTCCACAAGGGAAAGAGAGGACCCTGGTAACGAGGTTGAGTGTCTTTTGCGTTTATTTCTACCAATGTAAACACCAATGTTACCTTTACCTAGATGACCTCTCGTCATCATAAAAACTTCACCAGTAGCCAACAGTTTTACTCGACAAAGCTAACTGTAACTGTAAATTTTGTGTTAATTGAGAATACCATTTTGCCAATATTATTTTGTTTTGCCACAACAATACCATGATCAGGTTGGTTATCACTTTATTTTGTAATAGTTGTCACCAATGTTGCGATTCGCAGTAAGGCTATGTAGGCAATTGCTAACCACTACAGTAATACACGAAGAAAAGTTGAGTGAAGTACATGTAAACACTTTGAAATAAATTTGAGTTTTTGTTACTCTCACAAAAAACGAGTTAAGTTTGAAAATAGTAACTTTTACAACCCTTCAACTTACATTTATTGTGAGCTTTCACAGAGCAAAACTATCAATTTATGTCTAGACAATTCTAGATTTGTCTAGTTCTTAGTTTTGGAGATTCAGAGGGAATAATTAGGTCTTAAGACCTAATATTGAGCCACGCGCTGCTGGGTATTTATTTACGTGCGTAAACATTCGCTTTCTGTTTGTATATGCAAGAAATTCTTGGATGAATAAGGAACAAGTTAAACAAATTCCAGTTCTCAGGCAGAACTGTCTGCAATTGCATATTGAAAGTATGTCAAAATTTACGTCGATGCAATGAAAATCCACTAAATCCACTATCCACTAATCCAGTAAACTCCCATTTATTGCTACCAACAACCGAAGTTTTACTAACAGATGTAAGATACTGACAAACTCCAGTATTATGCCGTGGATTTACGATTAGCAATTTGAGGATCCCTCTTTTAACTACGATATGTTGATACGTTGCGTGACGGTGCCAGTTTCTGTAGATTGGACAGTTAAAAATGCCTTCAAACTTCCTGCCCAAAATTTTTTCATTGACTGGTCATGTTAAAACAGAAAAGCTAATTTGTAAAAGTATAGTTTACGTACAGTGTTCTAGGCTGGAAGCACGAATACTATTAGCTGCCATTTGCAGCTGCCTGCCGGTGTATTCAGGTTTATCGTAAACAAATTCTACTCTGCTACTAGCGACTGATTCCAATATTTACGCTGATGAATAAAAGTATAAACGGCATTTACCTTTTTGTCGAACGCAAAATAATATTTCATGAGTCTCTGAAGTAGTGTGTTCATGCCTGAAGCGAGTTGACTCTAACACATTTTGGCAGTTAATTGTGCAAAAGATTTGGTGACTGAGAACCTCAGATGCTGAAATGCACCTTGTTGCAATGTCAACAAGCGCTGTAAAATGTTTCCTTCGGTGACTCTTAACTCTGTCAACCACTGCCCCCTCCTTCCCTCGTGATAACTTGGGGCCATGTCCAGCTTTGTCTGCTGACTGGGAAAAACACAAACCACAGTAAATGGCATTTCCAATGGTAGATTATCCCAAACTGTAACACATCTAACTTTTAGCATCCCTTGTCAACCAACGGCTACACTGGATTTCTGATTTTACTGACGTTGAAAGAGATGTCACGAAGGAAAACCATTTTCCCTTTGGGGTTACGTACGAGTTTCAAATAGAGAATCATGATTGGCTCTTACACCTTTGACATCAAGACACCACCACATTTAATGTCATGGGTACTTTGTGTGATCGTTTTGACGTATCCATAAATATTTACCACGGGAAATTTACCCCGGAGAAATATTGGTAACACTCACGAAATGCAGTCTCCCGTCGTAAAAGGGTCACTTACCACGATAAGTTCCACGCTCTCACTAAGTGGAAATCTGCCATTACTCGCGAAGGAGTATCACACTTCTGTTCTTTTTTAGGGGTTATGCTTTCAGCATTCATGTGAAAAAAATCGGCTTTGAAAATTAAATTAGTACAAGCCCTTAGAGATGGTTTTGCATGAGGAGAGTTAGGGACAATTATTGTGGCTATAACAAATATAGGTGCGTCAATACCAGAAAAATTTTAAATGAGAAATGATCGCGAGGATCACGTAAAAGTCCAGCCCAATGAAAGTGCTCCTGTTACTGTAGAGAAATTCCAAGAGGTATTTATCATGATTTAAATACTGTAGTATTACCATTATGAAAAAATAAATTGTAGAATGTCATAATCTATATTGCTAACACAGCTGGTTTTTACGTGAGATGACTCACAGTCCAATGCGTTGAAATGGTGATACACGAGCTAACTTGTTTTAGTCCTCCGGTCAGTGGAGGTGTGTAATTAGAATCAAAGGCGAACAAAGAAAAACGTTGTGGTTGTCAGAAAACGGCTGCCCTATATTTTATGGCCCTGATCCCCTAAATTCTCGCATTCCTTTTTTCACTAGTTTCTATTGGCCGAAAGTCCGGTTCAGGTTGTATTTACATCCAGGAGGATTATTTTTGTTTCATTGTTGACTCGTTGGGTCGCCTCACACTCTTTTCATTTCTTACATACTGTGCTTTTCAACAGGGTGAAACTACCTTTTGAGTGACAGAAACGTAATTAAAGGATTACTGCCAAGACTTGGATAAAGGATTTAACACGCAACAGGCAAGACAAGTTGTAGAGTGTTAAGGAACAAAGTTAGCCTGACCGGACAACTAATCCACATACTCAATTTCCCACATCATTCCTTCGAACGAACTTACATACAGCGTCGCGCATGCCAGTAAATTTAAACGAATCCAAACTCATTTAAAAATAGTTTGAATGTTTTATTTAACGAATTTAACGCTGTCCTGTTACTACACATATCTGATAACAAGAACATGAGTGCTAACGTCAACTAAAAATCAGGGAAACTAACAATCCCTTGCAGTATTAAAAACTCCACTTCACAGGAAAAAAAAATCATCTTTACTAAAAGCGCTGTCTACTGAAGAAAGAAATTAAAGAGACAAAAGCTCCTGGATTCCATCTAGAGGCATTTAGAAAACTAAACTGAAAGTGGCAAGAATTGATGAGAAAATAACTGAAGTATAGGGTTTTTATTTCCCAAAACATCTTTTGACCGATCGAGAGAGACAGAGAGATAAATTAAACGCTTCCATTAAATGTATCAGCATTTCCCTACAGTTTGTCACATCTCAGACCAAAATGCGTTAAAGGGTTCATTGGCCAATGTCTTATATAGCTTCATATTTTCATGGCTTTCTTTAGATGTCAACTAATTTAAACTGTTGTCTACACGTGGTTAATTATAATGATCAATGTGCCTGATCACGTTACGGGCAGGCTAAGTAACTTAGACTACATCCTTCGAATTCCTTTTGTTTATTCAGAAAACCTTCAAAATTTTGCCTTTTTCGCGGCACAAAAATTATATCAATTTTGATGCGGCTGGATCAATCATTAAAGTGCTGTAATGCACTACACTGAAAATGACGGCATCTATCAGTCACCGATCAATCAGATTCATCACTCTCTGTATAAGAAGGAAAAGTCACCTTTTGAGCCGAACCAATTTCAAACTGAATAAACAGCGTGTCTTCTACAAGGTATCTCCTTGAATAAAGTGTCTTGTGAGATATAAAATTGCGACGCCCCCGACCCTCATTTTCAACTGTGGGCCTTTCTAAGTCACTTTTGGCGTCCGATTTTTTTATCACCTTAGTAATGTTTCTTCGTTTGCGTGGTTCATCCTGTTGATCAATCAGTGTGAATCTAACCCTCTTCTTAAAAGGCCAGTTTAGAATCGCATCGTATTCACCTTTCATTACAACAAAGAAAGCTGATAGGTTATTGTTCTTAGCAGCTCCAGCACCATTGGGGTAAATTCTTAATTTTAGCTTGTAGCCATAGTTTTCGGTGTAGAATGGATCACTCTCAATTCGCTCTCTTTCTGAAGCTTTAGCTTGACTCAAAATGTTGCTAAAGTCACTAACTTTCCAAACAAACCTCTTGGGAAAAATAGAAGATTCGTTTTTTGTCATCACCATGTTTGTTTCAAACCGTCCCTGAAGTGTCTTAAGCTTCATTGTTAAAGTTTTTGTAGTTTCCTGTGTGTCATTTAACTTATCTTGAGTTTTCTTCAACTCATCTTCTGTATCACTTAACTTCACACAAGCCAGATCAAGATGGATTTTCATGAAATCCTGAAGATGAGACTCCACTTCTTCTCGTAGAACCTTAAAAAAGAAAGCGTCATGTTCATTAACGGAGTTGTCCTTCTCAGTCAAATTTGAACTCTCCACCGTTGTAACATGAATATCTCTAGGATTAACCGTCAAATGACCCGAATGTTAAACGTCAACAGTCGAAAAATCAAGAGAGTTTATCTTCACCCTTCAATGAAGCCAGGCGTTAATACCCAGCCAAATTTTTTTTCAACATTCCTAAAATGGACGAGTCTTCCAGCCAATCACATCACGGCTAAACAGACCAATCACGTTCAACAGACAAGACTTTATAACATCATCGACTGACAACTACTCTTCACTTGACTCTGAAGATGACTACCGCACAGATAGTCGAAACGTCAGTCACCAACAACAGTTCTTTTCAGAACTACACTCACCCGGACGATCACACTACACGAACTACTAACCGTCAACTGTAAAATGGCCGAAAACCTAAGTCAAAATGGCCTATTTTTTTCTTCATCAAACGTCAGAGATACCATTCCATCGAGACCTAGAAACATTACTAATCAGCTCTTCTCGGTCTCAGACATTGCACTTCTGCGTTTTTCGTGATTTGAAAGCCTAACCATGGAATTGAACCAAACACGAAAAGCTATTGTACATATATATCGTTAACTAAAAAAGGCAATATCTGAAAAGAAAGTCGTATAACAAGTTTATTGATAAAATCAGAGCTGGCTTCCATACCTCCCTTTTGCATCCGATACCGACATGTGGGCAGGGAATTATTGACAATGGACAATCGTCCTCAAGGTGATGTGGAACCTGGAAAAATCGCCGGCAAATCAAGAAACCGATACCTACGCTGAACAACCAGCGAACAAACAGCATTACTGTAACTGGGCAACTAATAACCACAACACAAATGAACAATCTATCAAGAAGAATTTTGATTTCAAACCTAGCTCAAGTTTGTAGGAAAATTCTTAAATATTACAATTACAAACCAATGAACTTGCAATGCATAAGCGTGACCCACTTTAAGGTTCATTGACTTTACGTGTTGGTAGTGTTTCATTTCTCCATCTCCCATTTTTCTATTTACTTATTTATCTTAAAAGGTGGCACAAGGCTCACACAGTAAGTGACCAAAATAGAGTCCTTGGTTGCACAGCAATTTCACATAAGCAATTTTCTGGAGATAGATTTGTCTAAAAATTTCGCGCTGAGGCAGACGTATCGGAGATGTCGACTCGAATCGAGAAGCTTCCTATCGGCTGATATTAGCAGATATAAATTTAGGCGCGAATGGTTATGTTTTAATACAATATTTAAAAATTGTTCGCCGGCAGCGAAGTGAATATTGTTGAATAATGCCCGAGAAAAAAGTCATAAGGATCATTCAACATTATTCAGCGAGTCTGAGGCGAATAGGTGTTTTAGTGTAATTGCTCAGATGCTTTGAAATTTTGTTGTAAATTAATTTTGTTGTTGAAACCATTCTGTTACAAATGTTTTGACCACTCGTATCGAGATAAGCAGCTAGTCTCCACTAGAATTTAACAGTTTCATTTAATTTTATCAGCAAAAGCTTCAAATCTGTCTTTTGACAGGTGTTACACCAAGGTTAGTAGCATCATTTGTGTTCACAAGAACTGAATTCTCTTCTATCGCGTTTACCACTTCCTCGGTGACATTGACAAAACACGAGGCAGCCATTTTGAAATTGAGCGCCCCTTCTGTAAATACCTCGCGTGAGGTGATTATCGCAAGATATAGCTAGCGCAATCCTCGGCCAATCAGAGCGCGCTCATCTCTGTAATCACCGGAACGATTATTTAAAACGGGTATTCTTAACTATTTTGACGTGTTATCGCTACTCTGAATTTTTATCTTTTTCTACTATATTTTATACACAACTTACTCTTTCATCATCCACTCAGAGCCACTAGGCTCCATTAATGGAACAAATCTATCAGTCACGGCTCCAACATTCCTGGCCTTTATTTCTTAACTTGAACTTACTTTGTCTTTGAATGGTTCTTAGGGACCCGCTGGACCAGCTGGACCAGCTGGAAACAAGGGATCCCCTGGAATGAAGGAAAACGGCAGGTTTAACTCTATAGATGAAGTCCTAATAGAAAGGGAAAAATATCACTGGTTATCCATAGATTCCCGGCATGTTTGTCACTTCAGAAAGTATCAAAACAATGAGGGTAAATGTGACGTTGCAGCGAAAAGGCCACGGCAGTATGGCGTCGAAATCACCTTTCATAACACGTAGGAATATAGAAACGTAGGTGTTTCTTTTTGAGTGATCTCCATCAGGTCGTAAACAAATCGAAAATTTGTAACCCTTACATGGTTTGATGTTACTCTGGTTTGCAGATTTAATGAATGTAACCGAAGAAGTTACAATTCATAGACCCAACGTTTCGACACTCCTGTCTAGTGCCTTCATCAGGGGGGATCTAAACGCTGCAACAAGAGGTCCTTTCATATGATCACTAATTAGCGGTCTAGCATCAAACTATGTCTGATTGTCCACTTGGTTGCCGTGTGAACTTTAACATCTTTTATTTGCAACCCTGTTTCCAAGTTACGAATAGAGAACTATATTTCTTTGCCAGATCCACTCTTGGTATTTTTTAAGATGACGCTGAAACCCATTATCTTCCAAATTTTTCGCTTATTAATTCTGACACTTTTTTCTCTTGGGCAGTTACCTTTGTTTCGAGGATGGCATTTCTTAGCATCTAAAACGAGGAATAAAGGATACGGGGAACTACATGTGACTAAAAGCTAAAATATTACGGAGTAGGTGGGCCTTGTTTGCACCCATGACCGCCGCCCCTCCCCCCCTCCCCCATTCCCCGGATAAACGTCGCACATAGGGAAAAAAGTACTTCAAAATACCCCAGAGCTTTTTATGTTACTACCATAAGTGCTTTTCCCCGCCTTAATATTTTTATAATTACTGTAGTCGAGTAAATACAGTTCTCATCTCGCTGGTGCATAAGCGACATCATATGAAAGGAATGGATACTATCACACTTTATTTTCCAAAAGCAATTCATACATCTACGGTAGAAGAGAGGATTGCTATCCCTTCTGTTAACATGTTTATTCCTTTCTTTGACATGATTCAGGTTTCAGCTCACATTGAAGACAAGTGTCGGCTAACGTGGATTTCCTGTCCATATACACCGATGAGTTGTAAGGAAAAGGTGAGAACATCATAGTAGGGGCTTCATGAATTCATGTCACTAATTGTAAAAATCCAACAACAAAAATCAGGTGCTAGCAAAGTGAATTCACCAAATGCATCCTTGTTTTCTTGCCATCAGGGTGAGTTTTGCAGTTCGAAGCATAGTTAATAAAAGTGCCTATTCCTTGTTAGAGAAGAAATTCCTAGAATTTCTAATTAGTGTAAGACGTTTAAAGGTATTTATGGAAGCAGGAAATCTTGAACCGAAAACCGATCACAGTATTCACTTATTGCACGCTCGCGGATAAAAAAAACAAGAACAAGCGCTCAGCAGGTGTCTTAAATGGTGTTCCGTGCGCTCGGTTTTGAAAGCAAAGGTTCTGCCAAAATGTAATTTTTCAGTTTCTGAAACGTTTGAGCCTAAACCTGAATATGACAAAAGAGTCCAAAGAAAGCAGTCGTGAAAAGTAATCACCTCACAATCCCCTTCCCAAGCCAATTTTTTGTCTTCAAACCTTAAAGGCTACCTTATTTCCAAGGATACTATTCTTGAATTAAAGTTGCTCCACTAGAAAATTTTGGCTGGACTCGGCACTTGGCCCATCCTCGGGGACCCAGGGGCTGTGAGTCGATTTCAAGTCAGGGTGGAAGAGCCCCTGGGGACATTGTCTTACAAGACTTGTTCCAAACGGTCGCAGTCGATCTGGCATCTGATTGGTGCTAGAAAATCTTTGTGTTTTTCTGCCCAATCAGAGTGAAGTATGCTTTAGAGTCCCTTCGTGTGTTTTAACACGTATATGTGCAGGAAGCTCAGTTGCTCGCCTTGTTTGTTTGGGCCGTGCGACGAAGCTTTGCTTGAGGTGAAAAGTTTCAGTCTCAGCACACAATGTAAGAGAAATTGATTAGATTGTCCGCGAAAATCTTACCAGAAATTATACTGAATACTTTCGCAGGTATCACAGGTATTTCGTCGCACGGGCTACGCAGGTATGTCTTATATATCTTATATCTGTGCGCGCCAAAATTTAACCCTTACACAGTAGTAAAGTCTTTCACAATATGGCCAAGGTTACAGAGAATGTTAAGTTCGTGGACGACCTCCAGTAAGCGCTTAGAGAAAGCTTGGCTGTGTTTCCGGTTAGCGAATTAAAATCTGAACAAAACCTCGAGAACATTGTGGGAAGGAGAGATGTTTTTGGACAGTTACCGACGGGGTTTGGAAAGAGCTTAATCTTTTCAACTGCTGCCATGACAAAGGCATACCAATTTTTTTTGGATGATTTTTTTTCCATGATGTTTGTTCCATGACAAGTGTCGCAAACTCCACGCGGAAGACCATCGTCTGGTAGAACTTTTCGATTGAAAACTTCAAATATTTTCATAAACTCGCCATTAAGGTTTCTTTTTCTCTTAATGTTGATAAAGACGAAAGAGCATACTTGACAACGGTCTGAAAGATTTCCACGCGGATTATTCACACTCATCGTAAAGAAACCCTGAATCTTCCCTAAACAACTAGTCGAAGGAGATTTGATTTGATTTTGGTGCGCACAGAGAGCCACGTGAGCGTAAGCGCCAGTTGCTCGACATACTAGCGTGGCCCGTGCGACGAAATAACTTCACGGGATTGGCAAAGTTTCAGTCACAGCAAATTGTACGTGAAATCTAGAAAGACTTAGGTCCGAACGCACTGGACTGACAAAATTTGTCTGGCCCTACCAAAAATCTCGAAAAAATTTGTCTCTGCCAGATTTTCAGTTTGTCAAGCGTGGGCGCACTGAGACACAGAAAAATATTTGTTAACCACACGAGTCAATCACATGAGACAAGAGCATCC